ACGATAATTGCCTATCGGTAAGGAAATATATACGATAGACGATAGAGAATAACAAATCTATAATAACGCATCACTTTCAGAATGGAACGAAAAAGACTATCGAAACACTTTCATCTCATCTCTAATTTAAACAGATCTTATCTACGAACTTAACGACCAAAAGTTTAATTTGTTAATCAATTACAAACAAAAATGGTACTTCTTTGTCATGTGTACACTGTAATCTTGAATTATTTTCAGTTTTATACAAAATCGACTATAAAATCCCTGAGGATTTTCAAATTTATAGAAAAATCCTCATCGGTTTCCCAACTTTATAGCGAATGTTGATTTTCAAGATTATTGAAAATCGAGTCGATTTTTTATAAATAATTTCCAGGATTCTTCTTCAATTATCGTTCTGTTTTACATTCTTGGAAAATTTAAGCGCGAGGATTTTCACACTTCGAATAACTTCGAACGTTTTTCCTTCTGCACCACAGTCCGTCGAGGGAATAATTTAGAGAAAATCACACACACACTGCTCCTAAGTTGTTGGGGGTCATAAGTTGTATATATATACAGTGATAGAGAAATGGATAAAATATCAGAAATATGCTGAATTGTAGCTTGTTTTCTGAACTTTCGTTTTATATATTAATGTTTGCCATTCGTGGTTATTCAGCGCATACAGGACTTTTAAAAGCTAAAAACGAAAAAATAGTTTTTTTGCGCCGTCCTGGTCAAAATGAAACTATTGACGCGTTGTGTGACGTTTGATCATGAATGACCTACAAACACTTGCATTCTAAGCCTACTCTGATATGGCCATGCTCGTTAATGAACTGGATACAATCGCCCATGGTGGTAGCTCGTTTGTATATTATTTGATCAATAGGTAGTAGAAAACTGGTAAAATAGAAGGATCACAGATGACATTGATCAAGTAAACGCATTTTTGTTCGTAATTGATTAACAAATGAAACTTGTATCATTTGCTATGCAACAAGCTTTTTTGCCAATCGACTCACTAACAGATCTTAATTTAGTTGTAAAATTTAATTTATTCATTATTTATGAAATTTTCAACATTTTCACGTGCCATATTCGACTAAAAGGTTTATGTGTATAACCTTGTCCATTAATGAAATAAAGTGTGTCAAACGAAAGCAACTTTCTTATTAACAAGGTACTTTATTTTGGTATTTTCTTTTTCTCTTCAGGCCATAGTAGCCAAGTCTTGTGAGTCAATTTGTAATAGCAATTACTTTCTCAGCTCCAGATATGACCCGAAACAAAATTGTCACAAAAGAGAAATATAACCACCGAAGAATATCATGAAAACGAATGCTGATCTGGGTTTATTCTTCAAGGATGGCTAGTTACCCTATGTCAAGAGTGATTGTATTTTATGGAAGAAATTCTTTCGACAACACTTATAAACAGTTGAAATTGGTTGAATGAGAAAGATAAGGCGAAAAGAAGCAAAGTACAAAGAATACTACACAGTTGATGGAATTGAACACTTGAACTGTGAATTTAAATACAAAGAATTGACTTCTAGACGAAATTGTCCAAAAGTAAACAAACTCTAGGATGTTCTCAGGCGAATGGTGATGCGTCGAAGAAATCAGCTCACTATTAATTCGTACTCAGTAAAAGTAGAAATAAAACGAAACAGTGAAAAGTGGTCGCAGGGATCAACTGTCGTTTGCATATTATTTATTACTTTTTTTCATCAAGTCTAAAGTAACGATGATTTTGACTGAACAAAAATAAGAAAACTAGCCGTTGTTTTCAATAAACTTAACAATAATCGGACGTAAAATTCTTGTTACAATTTCGGGAGAAGTTAGCCTTTGATTTTTCCACCGATTTTCTGCTCTACGAGTAATAAGTATTATTGTTTTTCTATCAATGAAAAGCTGCTTGTTTAAGAAATATGGATGAATGTTTAATTGACGATTGCATGACTTGTTTGTAACTCAAATGCATTCGCACGTGTGACTGTCTTTCCAGTTTTTGACATTAAACCAGTGACCGTATGTCCTCCACCGCCGGTTGTTTGCATTTGCACACGTCTCGTGAAACAATGAATAACTCTGAAAAATTCTTCTCGGAACAACTTACTTGTGAGTGTATGTAAATAAAAACTTGTTGAATAATTTAGTTTTGTGAAAAGATCAAAGACAGCCGTTAGAAGAATAACGAGACCAATTGAACTGGACGTTGTTAGTGTTGGCACAATTATTTGATAGATGGAAATGGGTAGAGCAGTGAACGTAAAAATAGCAACACTGGCAGCCATCAACATAATCATTTGTTTTTGAACAAAATTAAATTTTTTCGCTTGATGTTTTTCTTGACGTGTACTACTGACAACTGGCTGAATGCGATGTTGTCGTGAACGAATGCTAACTGCAATGCCAATTATTGACAGAATCATGATTGTAGACGGCAGAAGAGTAGTGGTTATGACAGTGATGGTTGCCCAGTAGTTGTTGTAGAAAGCAGCATACGATGGATAATTTAAATTAGCGCCACAGTATAACGTGTTGCCTGGTGATATTTGACCGAACATAGGTGTTAGTAAATGGCAGTTGAGTAATACTGAAAGAGTGAATAAAATACCAGATGCTACCCATGCATTTTTCGGTGTACAAATAATTTGAGCTCTAATAGCAAACAATGAGCGGATTAAGCGATCGAATGATACTAAATAAATAATGAAAAATATTTCATTTGGAAGAAAGCACTTGTTCTCAAAATAAGGGATCAAGGACGAAAATTAATTGCTCCATTCAAGATTATTGATTATAAAAGTCTGGTCACAATAGTTGCGAAAAGCTCCTAGTTAAATATCGGGTGTTTATATTGGTTAATATTGTCCGATCTAAAAATATTTCCTGACCGGTAAAAACTGACGACTTCATTAAGTTTTTTCAGGGAATAAAACTGATGTTATGGACAAAATTTTGTTCTGAATACCTAGAGATTTTTACGCCTGTCTTTTCTGTAATGCTTATACTGGAATTCTAGATATAAAAACACCAATCAATATTTTCAAGATTGAGTTATGTTTGTATGTACAGAAAGTGTATGTACAGTTAGTGTGTGAATTGAATAGTCTGAAGAAGTCATTTGTCGAATGACGAAACATCATGAATAATTTGAAAATAAATTTAGGAAGAGATTCACTATGTCAAATAACAAAGTCAATTAGGACGAATTTGTATCTCAGATAGGAAGCTACGGTATCGGCGTATCGAAAGTAGAAAATTGGATTAATATCAAAGAAAGAAGATAAAAGCATATAAACGCCCAATACATGACAATGTTACGATTGCTGAGATATTTTAAAGCAATAAATAATATGACTTTGTCTTTGAAAACAAATTGAAAGAATAAAAAAACATAGAATTTACATTTCAAATAAAATTGTCGTTCTTCCTTTCTTTTAAAAAGACTACTAAGCAGACATACATAATGTCTTTCTGATGAAAAATCAACGAATATAGACAACCTTGTGGAACCGGCAAAAACGGGTAAAAACCGGCTGGTCCAACTGACTCAACCAGTCCGAACCGGTTACAACTCTGCTGCACATCTTCTTATGTTGGACATGCATGACCATTTCATCTGTATGTGGGTGCATACGCCGTGGAAGTGATATAGGCTTGACATAGACTTTTCACAAAAAAATGGCATTTATGATAATTTCTCGGTTATTCGAAGCTATTCAGTCTTCAAAAAAATTAACTAAAAGCTATTTAGACTTACTTGTCATTAGTAACCAAGACGAAAGGTTTTGTGTAACTTGAGTGCCAAAATGTCGTAGTCGACATGTAGCTGCATACGGCGATGTGTCCGGTATTTTGAGACCATAATTGACAAAAACATAAATCGAAAACATGAGGTAAATCATATTGGAAATGGATAAAAGTAGAAAATATACACCGGTAGACACTGTTCGCATTGTTTTTCGAATAAATATGAGAATTTGAAAAATGTGACCAGTAAAACCGATGAGATAAATGGCCAGATATCCATAGAGAAATAAATTATAACCAACGGATAAATACCACAAATCAAGATCGGACATGTACGGTTGATAATCACCGCCAAGATTATCATTTATACTATTGTTATTACTGATATTATTCAAAGACATTTTCCAAAACTTATATTCCAATAGAATGTAACCATATACTTCAGAATTAATAATTCTCCTATTTACTTCACACTGCGCAACATGCGGCTGATGTAAAACACAACATTTTAATGGATTTTATCAATTAGAACGGGGGATGAACATTTTTTTATTCACAGACCGGATGACGAGTCCATCAAATCCATTAAAATGTTGCGTTTTACATCAGCAGCATGTTGCGCAGTGTGAAGTAAATAGGAGAATCATTAATTCAAGTATATAGTTACATTCTATCGGAATATAAGTTTTGGAAAATGTCTTTGAATAATATCAGTAATAACAATAGTTAATAGATAATTCTGGCGGTAATTATCAACCGTACATGTCCGATCTTGATTTGTGGTATTTATCAGTTGATTATAATTTATTTCTCTATGGATATCTGGCCATTTATCTCATCGGTTTTAATGACTAAGAAGCAATATGTCGGAACACTTAGTTCCTTGACTTGAAAAACAAACACTGAGACGAGAGGGAAAAGAAGTAACGGATATCTACGGTTACATCTATGTTTTTAACCATCGGTATCATTTTGTAGTATTTAAAAGGAATTTCAATATAGTCTTTTCTTAGGTTTGAAATCTCACGCTTTTGGAAAGTAATACATTTTTCTCATCTAAGACAAAAGATGAAACAAAATGGTTTGAATCAAAACTGTAACACTTATTTTTTTGAGCTCTCTGTTCTAGAATAAAATAAGAAAGATTACAAGCAAATTCACATTTGTTTTATTCTTACTTTTCTTTTTTGCGTGTCTGATATGAGCTCTGTATGCGTTGCGGACAGAATTAGAATTCGGTCAAATTCTGAATTTGTCAGGATAGAATTGAAATTCTAGCTTCGCTCATAGTTTCTTTGCACAAAATTGAATTTCCAATTCTATCATGGAAGAAATCGAAACTCCATTTCTGATCAATTTCAAAAAAGGAAGAATTGTCCTTTGTAAAAGAGAGACTACAGTTGATAAAGCTGTACTGTTTTTGTTTGCAATTGATTAAGAAATTAAATTTTTATAAGTCATTTAATATTCTAGATTAAATATTCACTAGAATCTTGATCAAATGTACCATTTGCTATGCAACAAGCTTTTTTGCCAACCGACTCATTAATAGATCTCAATTTAGTAGCAAAATTGAATTCATTCATTATTTGTGAAATTTTCGCCGGTTTCTCTTGCTTTTCACGAAAAAACTAAATAATTTATAAGTATGAAAGTAAAATCATTTTTTTTGAAATCTTCGGTTCAGTCGAAAAAATTTTATATCTACAGAACGAAAAGTTCGAGAAGCCTACAAATTTGGA